TCTTTCAGAAAACCTCCAAGAGAATGTGTACACCTGCAATCCTCCAGGCTTATGACTGACAGATTCCTCGCCTGAATTTCAAACCCAGCCTTTTCTTTAAATGGAACCCAGTTGGGTGTCTCCAATCTCAGTCAACGCTACCTCTAGCCTCCTTCACGGCATATAGAAGGAAGGAACCTGGGATGACTCAACCCGCGAGATCTACCCCTCAGCCAGAAGAGAGAGGGAAAAAATATATCCTTCCCCCCTTTCCCAATTTCACCTAATTGTACTTCCTCAGAGCTTTTCTTCCTCCAGATCATAAATGTTTCTGACAGTCGCACATTCTCAAGATCCAGCTGAAAAGCCACCCAGGTTATGGCATCTTGCCAGCATGGCCTGAATTCCGAATTCTTTCCAAATCCTCTGGCTATTTGTGGATGAAATCATTACAGACAGCCGAGAGCCCGTAGGGGGGCCACTGCGCATAGCTCAGTTCCAGCTGCAAGTGGTCAAGGGGGCTGGGAGCCATGGGAGCTGGAGTCCAATCCTTCCACAGAGGGCATGTAGGCATACCTATCTATTTATTTATTTATTTGATTTGTTAATAACCTAGAAGGCAATAGGTATAAGTATAAACATGAGTAAGAATACAGGAAATAGGTACGAATAAATGGGGACAATAGGACAGAGACGGTAGGCACGATGGTGTACTTCTGCACACTCCTTACAGACTTCTTAGGAATGGGGTGAGGTCAATAGTCAGGGGTGGGATTCTACCAGTTCCCACCTATCCGCTAGAACCGGTTGTTAACATTCTAAGCAGTTTGGAGAACCGGTTGTTAGAAGAAATTCCTGGGCTAATCCTGTAAGGAAGGCAGGAAGGAAACATTCCGGTGTTGCTTACAGAAACTGCCTCTCCGTTAACCCTTATTATATTCTTGGCAGGACTAGACTTCCTGTCTCAGGAACGTTTCCGGAGTTCTTTTCCCCTCCTTTACTGGTGCTTTGCTTGTGTGGAGTGACCATTCAAAGTTACAATGGCCCTGAAAAAAGTGACTTATGACCGTTTTTCACACTTACGACTGTTGCAGCATCCCCACAATCGTGAGAGGCCAGGCGAGGAGATGCTTGCCTCGATGCGAGTGATATTGAGTTGGCCACGCCCAGCCAATAACATGGCCACCGAGCCACGCCCTACAACTAAGCCACACCCACAGAACCGGTTCTTAAAAAAATTGAATCCCACCCCTGTCAATAATGGATTGTTTAATATTTCCAGCTTGTACAGAGGTCTCCAACTTGAAGACTCGTCCTGCCTTCAGATGCTTTGGAGAACAAATTGTCCCTCCGCCTCTTCCTTCTGGCAGCTCCACCCCCTCCAATATTGGAAGACTTGCTATCATGTCCCCTCCTCCCCTTAGTCCTTCTTTTCATTAAACCAGAACATACCCAATTCCTGCAACTGGTCTTCGTATGTTTTAGCCTCCAGTCTCAATCCATCAATCAATCATTCACTCAGCTGGAAGGGACTTTCCAGTCTTCAGTGTCCTCGTAACTGTCAACTCATAAAATATTCCTATGGTCTTTTTAGAGTTGCCAACAGAAAGGGAAGGGAGGGGGAAAGGGGTTTGAAAGAGCAGTGTGTCAGCTTGGAAACCGAAAGTGCATTCCATAAATAGTTTTTCAAAGATGGTAACTAGGTGACTGAAGTTTCTGGCGTGCAAAATTCTAACTGGAGAGCATGATTGATGACTCTTGGCTATGGATGTGTCCCATTGGGGAATATGGATTATGATACAACCAGGGGGTGGGGGAAAACCAGGGTCAAGGGTGACAATGAATGATGTGTCCCAGAGTCGGCTACACCCAGGCAGTGCCGGACATGTTAACTCCCAATAAATCCTTTTGAAGTTTTGGAAGTTTGGCTCAAGACCAGAGGTGGTATTCACCTGGTTCTGACCAGTTCTGGAGAACCAGTAATGGAAATTTGGAGTAGTTTGGAGAACTGGCCAGGAACACCTCTGACTGGGCCCACCAACCCCATCTCTTTTGTGCCTCCCATTGAGTCCCAGACGATCGGCTGGATCTTCTTTTGTTGCCCTGCACAGGAGAATGGAGCTGGAAAGCAGGCCAGTGGAGTGGGGAGCAGAGTTTTTTTGACCAGTTCTGGAGAACCGGTAGTGGAAATTTTGAATAGTTCGAAGAACCAGCCAATCCCACCTCTGACTGGCCCCACCAACCCCCTCTATTCTCTGCTTTCTGAGTCCCAGCTGATCGGCTGGGTCTTCTTCGGTTGCCCTGCATAGGACAACGGAGCTGGAAAGCAGGTTAGTGGGGTGGGGAGGGAAGGGGGATTTTGCAGTAACCTTCCCCTGTCACACCCACCAAGCCATGCCTACAGCTGTGATCAGTCTCAATCAGAATACAGCTGGAAGCAGAGGTGGGTATTCAGCTGGTTCTGACCAGTTCTGGAGAACCGGTAGTGGAAATTTTGAGTAGTTCGGAGTGCCGGCAAATCCTACCTCTGACTAGAGATCTTACGCTCTCCTTCCCCTGCTATACCCACAGAACCAATAGTAAAAACATTTGAATCCCATCCCTGCTGGAGACTTATGATTTAATGCCAGAAATCCTGCCGGAATCCGGACAGTAACTTTTTCAACGGTCACTGAATGAACTATGGTAAGCCAAGGACGAGATGTAGCCTTATAAAGATCCTCATTCCCTGGTGACCCTGATGGCCACCGTCCAGGCTAAACCAATTATCCATGTTTATGCTCGTTAGGAATCCTGGATTGCTAGAAAAATAAACCACTACCCCACCCTCCACCTCCCGGTGTTGGAAGAAATATCCTTCTGGGTTCAGTTCCAAGTGGGGGAAAAAGACACTGGTAACATGGAGGCTGTTAAGAAAGATGGTTTAATGGTGGCTAATCGCAGGACCACATGGCTTGAAGCTCCAAAGGGAAAAGGATGGATGAGAAGAGAAGGTCAAGAAGGGCTGAGATGCTGAGAGTACCTGGGTTTTATAACCTTGGTTGGGATTTGAATTGGAGCTTGTATTCTGATTGGTTGTCAGACTCCCATGAGGCCGTGCACATGGGGCAACTCTGTAGGCTGTCCTGAGTTCCAGGCTTGGTTGAGCCATGCTGGATGATGATGCACTGAAAGGGTTTTGGGCAATTGCTATAGCTTTACCTGGAGATCTTTGTTATGTAGAATACTCTGGACCAGGTCTTAATGGCTCACCCATTAACAAAGGTGTGGGGAGGTGACCTTCTGTTTCTGAGGTGAGTTTCTGCTTCTAAGTTTCTACTCTTTTTAGGGGAAATATTCTGCCTTTTTCATATTTCCTAGGATATTTCATTTTTCTAGGAGAGGGGTGGGTTTTAACTTCCTACACCGGCTTGGCAACAATCTCTGCTCATCCAGACAAACACAAACTTTTCCGATGGTCCCTATCGGGGCCCACTTTTCCACCCCACCCCCCCAGACCCCCCCCACCCCCACTCCCACCATTCCCGCCCAGGCAACCTGCCTATTGTGCGATGTGTCACTTGTCAAACACATCGCCCGGCCAAGGCAAGCGGGGCTGGTGAAAAGCACAGCGGGCGGCTGCACTATGCCACTAATTAGGGGCAGCGGCAAAGGGTTCCCATACACACCTGCAGAGTCACGTGGGAGTACAGAGGGACAGAGAGGGAGGGGGTCGCGGCCCCGACCGAGGGATGAACCGGACAGGGAGGGTTTTTGCAAAAAGCGAAGGCTTTTGCAGGCAGCGTTTGAGGCTGTGTTTTTCAAACTTGGCAGCTCGAAGGGATGAAGACTTCAGCTCCCAGAATTCCCCAGCTAGCATGCTTTAAGTTGTGTGGACTTCAACCCCCATGATTCCCCAGCCGGCATGCTTTAAGATGGGTGGACTTCAACTCCCAGAATCCCTCAGCCAACATGTTTTGAGACTTCAACTCCCAGCATTCCCCAGCCAGCATGGCTTAGGTTGTGTGGACTTCAACTCCCAGAATTCCT